CCAACTGTGATATAGATATGTCGTTGTCACAGACAAAACTCAATGTCTTGTTTTATTGACACCTGTGTGTCTGCCTGCCTGTCTGCTAATGACAATATTCAATACACAGCTGCTATCACTGACCACATGCAATTTGAACTTAACACCAATCAGGCTATACACCATAAACAAAATGCATTGATTTATGGCCCGAGTTCGGTCTCTGTCACATTATGTAATTACACAGACAGGCAGGCGTGATACTTGAACACATGACATGTTATGATGTCTATTGATTGCAAAATGTTATACACAAAAAATGAGCATGTATTTACAAAACCCAACATCTCTATATATAAACACACAATGACCCGTGGGGGCATCTGCAAATGAACCAGCCGTTACATTTGAGTGCACACCCACCCGCTCTGACTGGGTTCGGTATCCCGGCTGCTTCGTTTCTTGGGAAGTAAACCCAAGTACACAATATTGCACTTTTGATTTGCGATTGTACGCTTATAATTTTGTTTATATGTTTTTTCATAACCAGCAATGTATATTATATGTCATGAATAAGTGATAATTGTGTTTAAATTATGTTTGATTTTTTGGTTGCAAGTGACCTTTAACGATATATAATTACATTTCCTAAAACTGTTGGAAGCGCACGTACAATCACCACAACAAGCACGCAGGATCTTCAGAAATACACACAGTAGCACCCAAGAAAGCCGTTATGTCAACAAACGCACGTTCGTGTATTGGATCTCGCACCGTAAATCGCTTGATTCTTATCAAAAACTTCACATGAGACAGCACAATTCTGTTAGCTTCGTTCCTGGTACTTTCAATATAAACATAATGCCATAAACAATTTTAGTAGTCGGGATTATTTTTGTCAAAGGACCGCAACCATTACACGCGTTCTGATTGGTTTGTCGTATTTTCGCACATAACAAGCATCGAGACGGGGACGAGTCTTCATGGAGGTTACGGAAAGGGGCGAGTGGTGACGACTGGAGTCTTCATGGAGGTTACGGAAAGGGGCGAGTGGTGACGACTGGAGTCTTCATGGAGGTTACGGAAAGGGGCGAGTGGTGACGACTGGAGTCTTCATGGAGGTTACGGAAAGGGGCGAGTGGTGACGAAAGAATTTCAAGCGTACCTCATAGAGTTACCTCCATTGGAGCGGTCCTTACGAATATCCTATAGCTCCTTTGGCCACAGAAACCAGTATTCTCCGACAACACCGCGTGCGACAGTTTTCGATGTACGGAGAAATCGTTTTCATTCCATAAATGGCAAGTGTTGTCTCTTTGGAAGCTATTCGCCCCGGGGTTTCAATTATCGATTTCAGGGATAATAGGGCTTTTATTGCATCAATAGGCAAGTAAAGTTAGTGCATATGCCCCCCATATGTATAATATAGGCCAGAATATTGTCGAAAATGTGACATAGTGACTTTAAATTCTTTTCTCTGTGTATATATTACGTTTCTTGGGTTTTGAGAAACTAAGTCAGGAATATACCTTGCCTTTTAGAAAGTAGTTACTTGTAATATCTTATATTTTGTATTGCATTTTTTCAGAAAATCCCCCAAAGTGGAGAAAGTGTAATCCACATTAGACTGAGTGAGTGAGTGAGTGAGTCGGGTTGTACGCTGCATTTAGCAATCCCTATGTCATATATTACAAAGATTGGTCACTTTGTTTCTTGTGTGACGGTTTTCACATAGCTATCCCTCAATATCTCCTGCAACCAGTTTAACGTTTCCGGTTCAATCTAAGACATATATTCCTTTCGACCATTTAGAACAATAAACCTTGTGTTAAATTAGTTAAAGACTAATTATATATCGTTAATAAAATAAATGTCCTGTAGACGTCCAAAATCTTGGAATTTATAAGGGAATACATTTCACGTTGACCCGAATGCTATGTTCCTTTAGTAGCGAATGTAGTTACATTTTCTGAAAACCCTTGATAATCATGTAAAGTAATAAATTGCCAAGATTTTCATACATTTTTCATAATGAACTGATATATTTTAAAACATATTTAAATAAATAATTGTATCATAAAACGTCGGCATTCTGACTGGGTTTCCCGATGCACAGAAGAACGTTGCTGTTTTATCAGCAAAAAGTAGACACATATCTAAAACACTGAAATGGCCTACTGTGACAGACAATTGATATAACAGAAACTTCATTCATGGCCACAGATAATTCACAATCACAAAAATGGAATTGATGGGACATAATTTGTAAAATCTTGTTCATTAATCGGAATTGGACGTTTCAATTAATGTACCTGTAGCGTCTATAGATCATCTGAATGTTTCAAGTTATAATGCGAGGTGATTTAGACTCAGTACGACATTTTCAGTTTTCATCTCTCAACTGTTCCATGTCAGGACAATGTTGACTAGAACATCATAGGTGGTCAAGTATAAAGAGTTGATATTTGTGCTTTTAATTACATCATGAAGCGTATAGAATAGTACAGAATCGATTCACTTTGGTTGAAAGTCTTCTGGTAATATATATATTGCTGTAAGGCAGACCTGTCACACCTTCCCTTTTCGCATAGTTTTTCTCTATCCTTAGATTTACTTCAATACTCCGGAAACATGTGTAGTTCAGTAAAAACAAATGTAATAAATGCACTTATGGGATTGAAATGGCCAAATGGTATATTACTCAAGCCTGTAGTGTTTATTCAGATATTGTGTTACATGAGACAACACTTTACATTTTAAAGTCTATTTATGATTGACAAATAATCACCACTATCTACAACAATGTGTAGATCACACTCATCATCAATCTCATCATGAACATTGACTAAATTGTCTTGTGAAAACAATTGTTTTTGTACAGACCATGTGAGTTAAGCATTGTGATTGGGGCCTTGTACTATCTAGCTGTATGTGTTCGATAGGTACTGATATTGTGACTTGCAATCACTTGCAGGTACTCATTTAAAATGTTACACAGACATGCTTTAAGAATGTAAAAACTGGAGAACTGTACATGATGCGCACCAAATATCCCTTAGGATAAAACTGAAATCATCTTATCTTATGACTTGTTCATTTGGGCGACATGCAATTACATGATGCACACCATTTCTTGGCCAAGGAAGTGTTTATATAACAGAACAACTGAATTGCCTTATCCTGAATGAGCACAAAATGATACAAGTTTCCGCTAACATTACCTTTCCATTACAAATTCTCCATTACCCGCGTTTAAGACTCTGTGACATTGCTAAAATATCATTTTTGTGAAATTGATGTTGAAATATTGATATAAATGACACAATTTTAGGTGGAAAACTTGACATAATTCGCTGTGAATATTTTGTTCTTCGTTTATCATCGAAATGACTTTCATTGCAAATTATATTATGATAAAAATGCTATCTGTGCTAGATTTATTAAATTAAATTACAAAGTTGCAAGATGCTATTTTGTGTTGATAGGGAAATTTATAGTCTTTAATACCACAAACTATAGCTATAATTACCATTTTTTATAAGCACATGTCATTGCAAAGACTGAGACAAGTCACAAAGACTCCACTCTCACTGTAACCAAGTTCCCATCCAGTGGTTGTGGACAGGTACGTGAGATAGGGACAGCTACTGTCAGCACAGGTAACTGACGCGAAGGACACGTTTTTCCTAAATATAGATACAGTTATCTGATATCGTGATATGTGATATTCACATATTTCTCATGTTGTCACGTAGGTCATGTTGCGGTTAGTCACCTTTGACCTATGACGTCACTGCATCCATCACGTGCTCCCTCGCCCCATCAGTCTTTCCAAGTAAATAGCGTTTTGATACATAGAGAATACTTAACTGACGAGGCCGTTGTATTGAAAGGGGAGGGAGAGTGATTTAGTTTCCTTAGGAGTTGAAAATGATAACATATGCATGTATGTAGGTAAAACAAAATACCCGAAAGAATACTACTGGAGTCCAAATATACCTCGTGACCTTGATTGGCTAGAAGTATGACGAGACGTGAAGGCGCACGTGAAGGCGCTACTGAAGGCGCACGTGAAGGCGCTACTGAAGGCGCACGTGAAGGCGCTAGTGATGGCGCTAGTGAAGGCGCTAGTGAAGGCGCTAGTGATGGCGCTAGCGAAGGCGCTAGGGAAGGCGCTAGTGAAGATGCAAGTGAAGATGCTAGTGATGGCGCTAGTGAAGGCGCTAGTGATGGCGCTAGTGAAGGCGCTAGTGAAGGCGCTAGAGAAGGCGCTAGTGATGGCGCTAGTGAAGGCGCTAGTGAAGATGCTAGTGATGGCGCTAGTGAAGGCGCTAGAGATGGCGCTAGTGATTGCGCTAGTGAAGGCGCTATTGAAGGCGCTAGTGAAGATGCTAGTGATGGCGCTAGTGAAGGCGCTAGTGATGGCGCTGGTGAAGTTACCCTGCGAATGGGGTCGACATACCCGTGACATGTCTGCAGTTAGCAACATCAGCAACCTACACAGAGTCTGGACCATATAATCCAGTGAATCCAGTAACAACGGTCCACGCCGTGTACGATGGCGAGGTCACATGGTCTGTCTATCAGATCTGAGGACACACAGAAGCTCCCAGTCAGTGTTTGATAGGGGTTTAGGGCCCTGTTTCACCAAGCGATCTTAGCGCTACGGCGGTCGTAACTTTATGTTAAAATATAGGAGAAACGAAAGTCGCAGCGTTATGATTGCATTAGCGGATTCAACGGGGTGTTCAGGGGGTTCGCCGCCCCCTCCTCTACAAACATACGGCATAACGTACCGCAATTCTTTTTGCAGAATTATATCCCTTTGGTCTTGGTTTCAGACCCAGGATCACTCCTGTTACATTTCTAGATTTGTCAGCACCAACGAGGTGAACTAATAAGACCCGCATCACTTCGGGTGTTCCTCTCACATTAGGCAGACCTGTCAAACGCGGCGTTAACCACAACTCACATATTGTACATGTGTGAAGATTTATTTTGGATCTGTTTCTTTGTTGCAGGTGGCGACATATTCGAGAAGGAATTACTGGTAGATGGCCGACGAATTCAACTCAACTTTGTGTAAGTTTCACACATGCGGATGGCGTTGCTGAGCAACACTTTTAATTGTCATTTCTCCCTAGCCCCGATATTGGCATGGCATTAAGTATGCATTCATGGTACCGTTTTGCTTATGTGATTTACTTCTATTTTCAAAATCTTGAGATATTGAAAGCTAAACAGACAAGAAAACGGCCACTTTGAACGGATTTTCATGTCTATATTTTACGACATCAGCGGCATATCCTTGATATATGAGCAGACACTTAGGATTTATGAGCAGACACTTGGGATATGAGCAGACACTTGGGGATATATAAACAGACACTTGGGATATATGAGCAGACACTTGGGGATATATGAGCAGACACTTGAGAATATATGAACAGACACTTGGGTTATTGAGAAACACATAAATTTGAATTCCACTTATATGGAACTCATTGCAAGAAACAAGTTGACAATCAATAGAAGTTGGTTTTCCTTTATATATAAACTGGGTGTTACAACCCATATCCGACCACAGTGCTAACTCAACACATATAAACTGGGAGTTACAATCCATATCTCACCACAGTGCTAACTCAACACATATAAACTGGGAGTTACAATCCATATCTCACCACAGTGCTAACTCAACACCTATAAACTGGGTGTTTCAACCCATATCTCACCACAGTGCTAACTCAACATATATAAACTGGTTGTTACAACCCATATCTCACCACAGTGCTACCTCAACATATATACACTGGGTGTTACAACCCATATCTCACCACAGTGCTAACTCAACACCTATACACTGGGTGTTACAACCCATATCTCACCACAGTGCTAACTCAACATATATAAACTGGGTGTTTCAACCCATATCTCACCACAGTGCTAACTCAACACATATAAACTGGTTGTTACAACCCATATCTCACCACAGTGCTAACTCAACATATATAAACTGGGTGTTACAACCCATATCTCACCACAGTGCTAACTCAACACCTATAAACTGGGTGTTACAACCCATATCTCACCACAGTGCTAACTCAACACATATAAACTGGGTGTTACAACCCATATCGCACCACAGTGCTAACTCAACACATATAAACTGGGTGTTACAACCCATATCTCACCACAGTGCTAACTCAACATATATAAACTGGGTGTTACAACCCATATCTCACCACAGTGCTACCCCAACACATATAAACTGGGTGTTACAACCCATATCTCACCACAGTGCTACCCCAACACATATAAACTGGGAGTTACAACCCATATCCCACTACAGTGCTAACTCAACACATATAAACTGGGTTTTACAACCCATATCCCACCACAGTGCTAACTCAACACATATAAACTGGTGTTACAACCCATATCTCACCACTGTGCTACTCTCAACACATATAAACTGGGTGTTTCAACCCATATCCCACCTCACAGTGCTAACTCAACAATGTGTCTGTTGTTTACAGGGACACCGCCGGGCAGGCTGACGTCAAGCTCTCTCATTCGGAGTATATACAGAAACGCAAACGTAAGTCCAGTTACATCTCACACCACAGTGACACCTCCTTAATCCGAACGGTTGGATTTTTCCATGCAAGAGGCGACGGTCAGGTTTGCTGATTTTGGTTGACATATGTCAGAGAATAACACTTTGCGTAGATCGCTTCTCAAGCTGTTGATCACTGGATTTTCTGGCCCAGACTCGATTTTTTACAGACCTCTGTGATATAGCTTGAAAACTGCTGAGTGTGGTGTTAAACAACAAACAAACAAAAGAGTTTAACACTCTAAGTTAGATGCGGTATTAAACAACAAAGAGTGAGTGAGTGAGTTTAGTTTTATGCCGCACTCAGCAATATTCCAGCTTTTATGGCGGCGACAAAGAGTGTGATTCAGCAGATACGGATGCCCCTGTTTGGGATTCGACAGAGAAAGTACCTGGCGTCTTGGAGGACATAAGTCTGTCCGAACAAGTCTGATATGTTGAATGTTGTTTTGTTACGCAGGGCATTATGGTTGTGTTCGACATTACGAACCAGAAGAGCTTCGACACGGTTGGTGAATGGATGGAAAGGGTGACACAGGTGGGTGTTTAAACAGGACAGGATATTAAAGGCGACTGTGGACAGGCGGTATAGGGCTGGGGTCTGAGAGGACTAATTGAGCTAATTCGGGATATAGTTAGCGTTAGTTGGTCAAAAATATTTATCTTGTTGAGAGAAAATGCTTTACGACTCCCACTTTAAATAAGTATGTGTTTATTGATGGTAAATAACTACAGTGTCGTCTAGAATAAGTGTGTGTTTATTGATGGTAAATACTCAACTACAGTGTCGTCTAGAATAAGTATGTGTTTATTGATGGTAAATACTAACTACAGTGTCATCTAGAATAAGTATGTGTTTATTGATGGTAAATACTAACTACAGTGTCATCTAGAATAAGTATGTGTTTATTGATGGTAAATACTAACTACAGTGTCGTCTAGAATAAGTATGTGTTTATTGATGGTAAATACTAACTACAGTGTCATCTAGAATAAGTATGTGTTTATTGATGGTAAATACTAACTACAGTCATCTAGAATAAGTATGTGTTTATTGATGGTAAATACTAACTACAGTGTCGTCTAGAATAAAAGTATGTGTTTATTGATGGTAAATACTAACTACAGTGTCATCTAGAATAAGTATGTGTTTATTGATGGTAAATACTAACTACAGTGTCGTCTAGAATAAGTATGTGTTTATTGATGGTAAATACTAACTACAGTGTCGTCTAGAATAAGTATGTGTTTATTGATGGTAAATACTAACTACAGTGTCATCTAGAATAAGTATGTGTTTATTGATGGTAAATACTAACTACAGTGTCATCTAGAATAAGTATGTGTTTATTGATGGTAAATACTAACTACAGTGTCGTCTAGAATAAGTATGTGTTTATTGATGGTAAATACTAACTACAGTGTCATCTAGAATAAGTATGTGTTTATTGATGGTAAATACTAACTACAGTGTCGTCTAGAATAAGTATGTGTTTATTGATGGTAAATACTAACTACAGTGTCGTCTAGAATAAGTATGTGTTTATTGATGGTAAATAACTAACTACAGTAAATAACCTAGAATAAGTATGTGTTTATTGATGGTAAATACTAACTACAGTGTCGTCTAGAATAAGTATGTGTTTATTGATGGTAAATACTAACTACAGTGTCGTCTAGAATAAGTATGTGTTTATTGATGGTAAAATAACTACAGTGTCGTCTAGAATAAGTATGTGTTTATTGATGGTAAATACTAATCAACTACAGTGTCGTCTAGAATAAGTATGTGTTTATTGATGGTAAATACTAACTACAGTGTCGTCTAGAATAAGTATGTGTTTATTGATGGTAAATACTAACTACAGTGTCATCTAGAATAATGTGTGTTTATTGATGGTAAATACTAACTACAGTGTCATCTAGAATAAGTATGTGTTTATTGATGGTAAATACTAACTACAGTGTCATCTAGAATAAGTATGTGTTTATTGTGTTTATTGTGAAAAGTCAACTACAGTGTCGTCTAGAATAAGTATGTGTTTATTGATGGTAAATACTAACTACAGTGTCGTCTAGAATAAGCATGTGTTTATTGATGGTAAATACTAACTACAGTGTCGTCTAGAATAAGTATGTGTTTATTGATGGTAAATACCAACTACAGTGTCGTCTAGAATAGGTATGTGTTTATTGATGGTAAATACTAACTACAGTGTCGTCTAGAATAAGGTATGTGTTTATTGATGGTGAAATACTAACTACAGTGTCATCTAGAATAAGTATGTGTTTATTGATGAAAATACTTAACTAACTACAGTGTCATCTAGAATAAGTATGTGTTTATTGATGGTACATTAATACAGTGTCGTCTAGGAATAATTGATACTAACTACAGTGTCATCTAGAATAAGTATGTGTTTATTGATGGTAAATACTAACTACAGTGTCATCTAGAATAAGTATGTGTTTATTGATGGTAAATACTAACTACAGTGTCATCTAGAATAAGTATGTGTTTATTGATGGTAAATACTAACTACAGTGTCGTCTAGAATAAGTATGTGTTTATTGATGGTAAGTACTAACTACAGTGTATCTAGAATAAGTATGTGTTTATTGATGGTAAATACTAACTACAGTGTCGTCTAGAATAAGTATGTGTTTATTGATGGTAAATACTAACTACAGTGTCGTCTAGAATAAGTATGTGTTTATTGATGGTAATACTAACTACAGTGTCATCTAGAATAAGTATGTGTTTATTGATGGTGAAATACTAACTACAGTGTCGTCTAGAATAAGTATGTGTTTATTGATGGTAAATACTAACTACAGTGTCAAGTGTGTGTTTCAGAATAAGTATGTGTTTATTGATGGTAAATACTAACTACATTGATGGTAAGAAATTAACTACAGAAGAATGGGTATGTGTTTATTGATGGTAAATACTAACTACAGTGTCATCTAGAATAAGTATGTGTTTATTGATGGTAAATACTAACTACAGTGTCATCTAGAATAAGTATGTGTTTATTGATGGTAAATACTAACTACAGTGTCATCTAGAATAAGTATGTGTTTATTGATGGTAAATACTAACTACAGTGTCATCTAGAATAAGTATGTGTTTATTGATGGTAAATACTAACTACAGTGTCATCTAGAATAAGTATGTGTTTATTGATGGTAAATACTAACTACAGTGTCATCTAGAATAAGTATGTGTTTATTGATGGTAAATACTAACTACAGTGTCATCTAGAATAAGTATGTGTTTATTGATGGTAAATACTAACTACAGTGTCGTCTAGAATAAGTATGTGTTTATTGATGGTAAATACTAACTACAGTGTCATCTAGAATAAGTATGTGTTTATTGATGGTAAATACTAACTACAGTGTCATCTAGAATAAGTATGTGTTTATTGATGGTAAATACTAACTACAGTGTCGTCTAGAATAAGTATGTGTTTATTGATGGTAAATACTAACTACAGTGTCATCTAGAATAAGTATGTGTTTATTGATGGTAAATACTAACTACAGTGTCGTCTAGAATAAGTATGTGTTTATTGATGGTACAGTGTCATCTAGACTAAGTATGTGTTTATTGTGGTAAATACTAACTCAGTGTCGTCAGAATAAGTATGTGTTTATTGGATGGTAAATACTAACTACAGTGTCGTCTAGAATAAGTATGTGTTTATTGATGGTAAATACTAACTACAGTGTCATCTAGAATAAGTATGTGTTTATTGATGGTAAATACTAACTACAGTGTCATCTAGAATCAGTATGTGTTTATTGGATCGATGGTAAATACTAACTACAGTGTCGTCTAGAATAAGTATGTGTTTATTGATGGTAAATACTAACTACAGTGTCATCTAGAATAAGTATGTGTTTATTGATGGTAAATACTAACTACAGTGTCATCTAGAATAAGTAATGTGTTTATTGATGGTAAATACTAACTACAGTGTCGTCTAGAATAAGTATGTGTTTATTGATGGTAAATACTAACTACAGTGTCGTCTAGAATAAGTATGTGTTTATTGATGGTAAATACTAACTACAGTGTCATCTAGAATAAGTATGTGTTTATTGATGGTAAATACTAACTACAGTGTCATCTAGAATAAGTATGTGTTTATTGATGGTAAATACTAACTACAGTGTCATCTAGAATAAGTATGTGTTTATTGATGGTAAATACTAACTACAGTGTCATCTAGAATAAGTATGTGTTTATTGATGGTAAATACTAACTACAGTGTCGTCTAGAATAAGTATGTGTTTATTGATGGTAAATACTAACTACAGTGTCGTCTAGAATAAGTATGTGTTTATTGATGGTAAATACTAACTACAGTGTCATCTAGAATAAGTATGTGTTTATTGATGGTAAATACTAACTACAGTGTCATCTAGAATAAGTATGTGTTTATTGATGGTAAATACTAACTACAGTGTCATCTAGAATAAGTATGTGTTTATTGATGGTAAATACTAACTACAGTGTCATCTAGAATAAGTATGTGTTTATTGATGGTAAATACTAACTACAGTGTCGTCTAGAATAAGTATGTGTTTATTGATGGTAAATACTAACTACAGTGTCGTCTAGAATAAGTATGTGTTTATTGATGGTAAATACTAACTACAGTGTCGGTCTAGAATAAGTATGTGTTTATTGATGGTAAATACTAACTACAGTGTCATCTAGAATAAGTATGTGTTTATTGATGGTAAATACTAACTACAGTGTCGTCTAGAATAAGTATGTGTTTATTGATGGTAAATACTAACTACAGTGTCGTCTAGAATAAGTATGTGTTTATTGATGGTAAATACTAACTACAGTGTCATCTAGAATAAGTATGTGTTTATTGATGGTAAACACTAACTACAGTGTCGTCTAGAATAAGTATGTGTTTATTGATGGTAAATACTAACTACAGTGTCGTCTAGAATAAGTATGTGTTTATTGATGGTAAATACTAACTACAGTGTCGTCTAGAATAAGTATGTGTTTATTGATGGTAAATACTAACTACAGTGTCGTCTAGAATAAGTATGTGTTTATTGATGGTAAATACTAACCTTCACAGTGTCGTCTAGAATAAGTATGTGTTTATTGATGGTACTAACTACAGTGTCGCCCAGAATAAGTATGTGTTTATTGATGGTAAATACTAACTACAGTGTCGTCTATAGAATAAGTATGTGTTTATTGATGGTAAATACTAACTACAGTGTCATCTAGAGTATGTGTTTATTGAGTAGTGTCGTCTGCTGAATAAGTATGTTTATTGATGGTAAATACTAACTACAGTATCATCTAGAATAAGGAGTATGTGTTTATTGATGGTAAATACTAACTACAGTGTCGTCTAGAATAAGTATGTGTTTATTGATGGTAAATAATTAACTACACAGTGTCGTCTAGAATAAGTATGTGTTTATTGATGGTAAATAATTAACTACAGTGTCATCTAGAATAAGGTATGTGTTTATTGATGGTAAATACTAACTACAGT